CTAACCCACTTGCTGTTCTTCAAACAAAATACTCCATCTCCCGACTCTGGGGACTTTCACTGGTTGTCCCTCATGCCTGGAACTCTCTGCTCCTCATCTCTACCTCCTGGCTTTCCTTATTTCCTTAAAGTCTCAGCTAGGGCAGCTAGGTTACCCAGTGAATAGAGTACCAGGACCGGAGTTGGGAAGACTCAACTTCCTAAGTTCAAATACAGCCTCCAGACACTTATAAGCTAGGTGACCCTGGGCAAGTCATTCAGCCCTGTTTGCCTCAGTTTCCTCATCTGTAACATGACTTAGAGAAGGAATTGGCAAACCACTCTGGTATCTTTGCCAAGAAAACCCCAAATGGGGTCACGAAGAGTTGGACACGACTTAAAAAAATGACGGAACAACAAAAAGCCCCACCTTCTACAAGAAGCCCTTCCAAGTCTTCTTTAACCTTAGTGCTTTCCTTCTGAGGTTATCTCCAATTTATCTTGTATATGTCTGGTTTATATATAGTTGTTTCTCTGTTGTCTCCCTCATTAGACTGTGAACTCCTTGAGACCAGGAACTGTCTTTTGCCTTTTGTATCTCCAGTGCTTAGCGCAGTGCATGGCACATTGGAGGCACTTAATAGATTCTTGTTGACTTGGCTTGGTATGGCTGTTTTTTATCATGCACCTAAAGACAATAAAAACCATTTGATGGAACACTTGATCATCTCATATTTCAGTATTCTTGATCTCTTTGTCAAGAGGAAAAGTATGGCAGCCAAGGGCAACACTGGTTTAGAATACAAATTTTTTTGTAACTCTATGGGAGGAGAATGGTAAAAGATTAAATTGCTTCACAATATGATGAGAATCAACAAAAGAAAAAAGTTACAGAAAGTGGATGAAAGACCCACAAAGTCAGATTATCACAGGAGCATTCAACTATGAAACTAGAAGGAATTGACCCTAAAGAAAACAAATATGGGCAGAGCAGCCAGACCAGACAAAGTATAAAAAGACGATACTCATCCCAGAAGGGATATGGCTGTGTCGATAAGGGACCAAGTCTCACAATATATAAACACTTGCAAACCTTAGAAGGCATCGTAGAGTCCTGGGTTTAGAGTCCAGATGGCCTGAATTCAAATTCAAGTAAGGGTCTGCCTCAGACACTTATGAACAGTGGCAATTTGTCTCAGCCTCAATTTCTTCATCTGTAAAATGGGGGTTAATAATAGCACCTAACTCAGAGAGTTGTTGCAAAGGTCAAAAGAGATAGCATTTAAAATGCTTACCAAAAACCTTAAAGTGCTATAAGTAGCTATTTTGTTATTATGATGATGATTATGATTGTAAGAAGGGTGACAGAGAAGCTATCAGAAACTATTAGCCTATATCTCAGCTTTCCCACCTCTACCGAATGTTTATGAAAATCATCTCCAGAACTCCAGTTCTGCCTTTAAGTCCTGGTAGGCAATTTCAGGGATGCGACATCATGGCCTCCACCAGTAAGAGCCATTGAATCATAGGATTTTGATTCAGAAAGGATTCTTAAAGATCATCTAGCCTAACTCTCTCATCTTTCAGCTAAGAAAGCTGAGCCCCAGAAAGGTGATGTGACTTACCTGCACAATTAGTAAATTACAGACCTGTTATGCAAAGGCAGTCCTTCTGACTCCAAAGTCACTGCTCTACTGTCTCTGTTAAACTAAGTGTGCGCATCTAGGGTTTGAACCTAAGGCTTCTCTCAGTAGGATTCCTTCCTCTTTTTTATCATGCTGCCAGCCCTAAAGAAACCACCTGCCTATGTTGTGTTACAAAACTGAAATTTAAGGTTGTGATATACTGCAGACTGTTGTTGCTATTCAGTCATTTCAAGCCTGACTCTTTGTTCAAGGTTTTCTTGGCAAAGACACTGGAGTGGTTTGTCATTTCCTTCCCCAGTTCATTTTACAGATGAGGAAACTGAGGAAACAGGGTTAAGTGACTTGCTCAGGGTCATACAGCTAGTAAGTATTGGAGGATAGATGATAGGCCAACTCAAAGGTCCAGGTTCAAGTCTTGCAACTGACACCTATTTGGAACATGTTGAAGTACAGAATTGAAAGTCTGGATGAGAAAACATGTCACATCACAGCAAACCCCAATCTTCAGGGATATCAAGTCATCTGGTTTAAACAATAGTTACTGTTCTTTCTGCTTTTCCTGGTCTAAGAGCTATGATTACTCAACTCTTGAGTGACTTCTTTTCCTTTTCACAACAACATCTTACGAGCCTCCTTCACTACCATGTCCCCTGATACCAGAAAAAGATCACCATAGATCAGAGAGATAAGGCAAGGGCCACCTTACTGCCTTTATTGTTTGTAAGCTCTCATGGCAGGATTACCCCAGTAGTTTTCTTCAATAACAAAAGGGAGAAAAGCCAACTAAATTCAGGTCCCAGTCTGTGTGCTGCTCTCTGATGAGTTTAACAAGAACACTCCCTTGGCTCCAAAACGGACAGAAAAGCAGAAGTGAGCTTTACAAACAGGGGCCAGGAGTCGTCAAAAGGAAAGTACACCCAGGCAATAGCGTCATGAAGTAATTGCTTATCTCTTATTGCTCCAACGTGCTGCTGCAGAAAACTTCCTATTTCCACTCCACAATGGGTGCTTGCTTCATGCAGTGGATACCTGAAATACTTGAAACATGCAACTCCTGCAGAGAAGGCAAGCTTTAGCTCCTGTCATTTAACAGGACACGAAGCGTGGGAAAGAAGAAAAGAGAGAGACAGCTGAAATCCTAAAATCCAACTCCTCCTTTCCTCACTTGAATTGGAAAGGAACAATTTTATTTTCAAATCTTACTCCATATTTGCCATATTAAAAACTTGCCTTTTTCCACTTAAATATATATATGCATTACCAATGTATACTATACCTGGGCCAATGCTTATAAGTGATAAGCACAAGTAATAAATATGTGTATGGAATTTGGTGAATCACTTACCCTTTTTGAGCCTCAGTTTCCTCATCTGTAAAAGCAAAGGATCGGACTAAAGAATTTATCTGTAAGCTTCCTTTTAGACCCAAAATTCTGTGATTCTCTGGTATGGTAGAAATAACTAAATTGCAAATCACAATATCTGAGTTTAAGTCCTGACTTTTCCATTTAACTAACCCTGTGGATTTGGGGAAAGTCCCCTAATTTTTCTGAGCCTCAGTTTCAATTTCTATAAAACAGGAATACTAGGTAGTATCAGAGGGCTGTTGGGATGACCCTGTGAGTGCTCCACTACAAATTCACCCTCTAACATGAAAAATACTCTGCAAATACAAGGCATTCAAGTCAATTCAACCCAACAAACATTTATTAAGAGCTGCTACATTTCATAAAAAGTTGTATTATGCACTAGGGATACAAAATAAATTTTAAAAAAACAGCATGGCATGTCCCTCAGGAGTTCGTAATCCAACAAGACCTGTCTACAAAAGGATATGACACAGTAGAATATGATTAAGGTAAAGAAGCAGTCCAGAGTGTTCTAATAAAATTTAAGAAGGTTTCGCAGAGGAAATAGTTTCTTGAAGGAAGAGAACAGTGGGGCGTAGTGAGATGAGCACTGAATTTGGAGTTAGGAGGCTTGAATCTGAAATTCCTGCTCTACTACTTACTAAGCCACTTGACCCCTGGGATTTCAGTGTCCTCATCTATAAAATGGGAGGGTATTAGTTGCTCTTAAGGGTACCTTACAGATCAAATCCTATGATTCCAATATGTGGAGATATGGAAAGCGGCGGCTCCAAGAATGAGGAAAGGTAGAAGCAGGTGAAGTCAAGACAGGATGGGGAAAGATAATTAATATTCCAGCTTGCCTGGAATAGAATTTCTAAAGGGGAAAATCATTAAATTAGGCCTGAAATGTTGGAGCCAGATCTATAGCCAACAGGGAAGTCACTGAAAATTTTTGAGCAGGACAGAGATTCGATCAGACTTATGCACTGGGAAAATTATTTTGGCATGAATGTGAAGTACATAATGGAAAGGGGAGCCATCAGTGGTAGGAAGACCAATTAGGAGCCCTTAGAATGGTACAGAAAGACATAACAAGGGCCTGAACTAGGAGTCAAAAAGAGACAGATTCCAGAGACATTTCAAAGGGAGAATTGACAGGACTGGACGACTGAGGGAATGTAAGGTGGGAGGGGAGAAAGGAAAAGAAGAGTCAAAGATGGCTCTAAAGTTGAAAACTTGGGTGATTGGGAAGGTGGTAGTGTCCTCGGTACAGGAATGGAAGTGGCTAATTAATAATAATTATTATAACTACTATTAAGGTCAAACATATGTGAAAGGTCACAATTAATGCTTTCTCCAATAATTAAATATCCTCCACACAAGGACAAGAAAAGAGGGGCTCCCTAAGCCCCCAAGATGAAAGCCCTCAAACAAGCAGCACCTTGCCGGTGCTTGGCTCTCCTTTCAATCCCTACTATAGTTCTTCAGCATGTTGATTTTGTTTGAAGTGAGATCTCCACCAGCTGTAGGCATCAGGGTAGGGAGGGGAATTTTAACGGCAGAGGAAGGGGGGGGTGGGGAGGATGGACAGCAAATCAGGCACAAAGAGCACACACTCCCTCAGGCAGGGATGCTACTACAAGACTTCCCCCAAATGAACTTTACAGAACACACACAAACGCAGTATTGTGCCGGTCTGAATCAGCCCCACAGTGGATGGTCCAAACAGCTATCAGTACTGCATCCATTTCAGAGCAGGAGAGGGTCACCCTGAGTACACAGCACTGCCCTTTCAAGTTACTGCCTTCGGACAAGTCCCCAATTTCCTTCCATACCACCTTTGATCCTGTCACTGTAATAGCAGGTTTACAAAGAGCCAAGCTGAAGATCTGTTTTCCCAAGACTCACACTTTAGGAGACACTCCACTGAAATCAAGATGATGCCTGGGCTGACCACAGTTTTGCCCTAACACATACACCCAGGAATTGTTTCCCATACATAGAACAAGGAGTCATGTTACTTACATGGAGTCAAAAGGGGTAGAAATCCAAGAGCTGACTCAGGTGTCCCCAAATTCAGAAAACTCTTAACACAGAAGGCAACAGCTGAGGTTTTCATTCCATTTAAGCAGACGCTTCTGGGAAGGCTCAGTGAACAACAGGGTTCCCTTCACAAGCAGACCAGAGAATGAAGCTCTTTTGAAAGAAGAGGAAGTCTCACTGTACTTCCCTAAATTCATTGTTCTTTCTTCTGATGGTTACTAAACCCTTCTCTGATTCCAATACCCCAGGCATAGCTATTCTGGGAAGGCAAGTCCTATCTGTCTCATTCCATTTATTCTAAACACTGCCCGGTGTATTCATTTCCAGGACACATGTACAAAACATTGGGCTGCTCTGGTTTCCTGTTTTGGAGGCAAAGGCTCTGTATTTACAGACATGTAAGGGAGAGCTCCTCTGCCCAGCTCCCCTACTTTCCATCAGATCCAATTGTCTGTTTTCAATAAGCTACCCCTCCTGGGTTCAGACTATTTTACTAATGTCCCTTCTTTGCCCCTATTTCTCAAGCATTCAAAATGGGCTACCAAATAACATAACTACAGACTGATAAACAAACAAATGGATGGATGGATTCTAGACTAAAATAACCCTTTTTCTACCTATCTTTAGCAACACTCACCAAGACATCTTCCAACTATAGTTCATTTCTTTCACCCACAAGGGCAGGAAAAATGACAAGTGGCAAGTTAAAATTGGACAAATCCTTCCCTTTAACTACCCCTGCAAGGGCTCTTTCATTTCATTTGAGCCCCGCCCTCTTAGCACTCCCATCTGGGTTCACTGGTTTGCCCTTCTTAGTGGGGAAAAAAAAAAAAACACCATCTCATGTTTCTACTCAACGGTTTCAAATTTTAAAAAATCAAACCAAACAACAGTTAAGATTGGAGACCTACTTGAAGAGGTAGCTACACTTTATTCAATTCTCTTCACAACCTACACCTACCAAACAAATTGCCGACATTAGTGAAGGCTCTTCTAATGGCTTAGTTAGAAACAAAGGCACTGGGAACAAGTCTGAGAGTCTTTCATTCAGTATTTAGTCTACCCCAGTCCTTACCATTCTTTTCTAGGCCAACATGAAAACCCCAACCAGCCCTCTCTTCTCTGCTTCCCCTTCAAAACAACCATGGCCAAGAAGATGGAAAGTGACCAATAGGATTTCAGTAAGAAGAAATTGGGGGCCTTCTTCACATCTAGAAGTATATGAAGGTTTCTAAGTTGCCTCTGACAACACTTCATGTGAAAGATCTCCGTGTTATAACATTCAGTACAAGAATGAGCCATGGTCTCCCAAACCTGAGCTTCTTCCTAGAAAGTTTCATGCTCTCTGGTCTCTCCATTGGTTGTGTGACTATGATGTAGTCATAGTCACTGTGTGACTATGATGTACAGGCAATTCTCCACATCTGCAGCATTCATCTATTTCAAACAGCCTAAAAGTAGATAGCTACTTCTCTTTCTCATTAGGAGGTTGGCATAGACTACCAAGGGTGGGGAACCTGTGGCCTCCAGGCCACATGTGGCCCTCTAGGTCCTTTTACTGAATCAAAAGGCTGCACTTGAGGACTTAGAGGGCTAGATGTGGCCTCAAGGCCCCTGGGACAGCAGTGCAGGATTATGTGTTTCGGCCTGGAGACAGTCAGGTATGAGAGGAAAAGGATAGTTCTGTGCACAAAGATAAATATGCAATTAGCCAGAGCTCTTCCTAATAAAACGAAGCCTTCCAGCAGCTGGCATCACAGGAAGAAACAAGAGACTGACTTGATCTTTACTTCAACTGGCAGATTTCAGGAGAAGCAAACAGGCATTGTGATCTCTGATCCATCTATATTTTTGATGCTGAAGGTTGCACATAGATGATAAAAGGTTTTGAGAAAAATCAGACAGCAGTTACCACTCCTACCTTGCAGGAGTCCCCCTCACTCCTAAGAAAAGCTAAATTGGTTTTTTTTGGGAGGGGGTTTAGGTAGATATTTTGTTTTTTTTGTTTGTTTTTTCAACTGGGGAATTTTTTAAAAATAATTAATTTATTTATTTTTAGTTTTCAACATTCACTTCCATGAGATTTTGTTTTAAATTTTCTTCCCTTCGCTCTCTTCCCCCACCCCAAGATGGCATGCAATCTGATATATGCTCTACTTACACATTCATATTAAATATATTTTCACATTAGTCATGATGTAAAGAAGAATTAGAACTTATGGGAGGAACCTCAAGAAAGAAGAAACAAAACAAAACAACAAAAGAATAGGAGACAGATAGTATGCTTCCATCTGCATTCAGAATCCAAAGTTCTTTCCCTGGATGTGGACAGCATTTTCCATCTTGAGTCTTTTGGAGTTGTCTTAGATCCTTGCATTGCTGAGAAGAGCTAAGTCTATCAAAGTCAGTCATCGCACAATGTGGCTGTTACTGTGTGAAAAACTAAATGTTACAGGAAAGCTGCGTTTAAAAAAAAATAATGGGCAGAAAAGGAATTTAAAATGCAAATTAAATTTCTATATGGTCATTCCTATTGCCTTTAGGTAATGATTGAACCTCACTGGCTTTCAGGACTCTAATCTCTGTCTCTGGACATTTATTTCACAAGAAAGGTAAATTTGTGGAGAAGTAAAAAGAGACTTGTGAAGATATCATAGATGTGAACTGAGAACAAAATAAAATTATTTCTGGAAACTCCTAATTTGGGTGAGCATTAATTTATGAGGGACAATCCTCCCTCAGCTTCTTCTGAACTGAATAGCCCCATTTCCTACTTTACACAAAGGTGGCATAGGGTTCAGTGAAAAGTAGAGAATGAGATACCAGTGTCACAATTTCATTTTCTTTTTTGTCTGTTTTTCTTCATCCTTAAAATTCTGAATTCAGAAAACAACAGATAAAATGAGCATTTCTATGTACAAAACAGAACAGAAAAAGAGAGTTATATACAAAACCACAAATCTCTATTACGTGCAATTTGCTTTATACATAAAAATTCAACATATAACTTTCAAAGCTGTTTTGCAGGTCTGTTTCCTTCTGGTCTTCCTTCTATGCTCTTCTATACCTTTTAAAAATGCTTCATTTACCCTCTTTTCTTTCTTTTCTTTTCTTTTTTTTTTTGGCAACTCTATTGCTTACAATCCCCTTTCCCAAATCTCCCCTTGAAAAAAACTGAAGAAAAAAAAATGACTCCTAATAAATATGCATAGTCAAGGAAAACAAATCTCCACATTGGACACCTCCAACAATTTGTCTCACTCTGCATCATGAGTCCATCACCTCTTTGTCAGGAGGTGAGTAGCATGCTTTATCATGCATCCACTCTAATCTCTGTTGGTCAGTGCATTGACAAACCTCTCAAGTCCTTCCATTGTTTTTCTTTACAATGATTGTATAACTTGTTCTCTAAATTCTGTTCACTTCTCTCTGCATCAATTCATGCAAGTCTTCTCGGGTGCCTTTGAAACCATCCCTGTCATCATTTCTTACAATATATGTAGCAAGGGCTGTGCCTCACATGTAACAAGCAGCTGTCGTGTGGCTCGGAGGGAAGCAGAATAGATATCGCTAACCTCTTCTCCACCTACCCTTCTCCAAGGGAGACTTTATTTCTTGCCAAGAGGAGAAGCAGGCAGTTGAGGTTAAAAGCTTGGCCACTCTGCTTTCCTCAAAGAGAAAAGGTACCAGGTTAGAATTATATATCTCTGTTCTCTTAAATATTATTAGGGGATGTGATTTTCAAGTTCAAGGTAAACTTCTGATTGCTGTTCATTAATTGGGGGAAAAGAGGACCCAAACTTTTTATCCAATGCTTGACTCTTTTCCCACCCAATACTAGTTCCACAATGAATACATATAAGAAGTAACAAAGAAACTCATTTATCCAAATCTGTAGCGAAACAGGTGTCAGAGAAAGTAAACATAGGAAAATATATACCAGACAATTCAGAGTGAAGGAGCTCTCCTACTGAGAATGAAGCAACTCAACTCAACTGAAAAAGAGTGTCCAGATCTTACCCAAGGAGAAAATACCCTGAAGTCTCTAGTATAACAAGACGGGACAGGGACACGATGGAAACTGCTAACTCCTCTTACGTCAGCTTCTTCCCAGAGTCTTTTCCTGAAGCAACCTGAAGCAGCATCTGGCATCATTCATCTTCTCTCTCAAAGCCGGAAGCCTGAAGTGCCTTAAGCAATTGCAGAGACCAAAGAGCCTACAAGAAATGTGACTAAAAGCATACACAAGGATGTTATCAGAGAAATGTTCTTCAGGACATAACAGAAAGTCACAGTTCTGTGATCTAGGATTCTGTGATGAAATAGGACTTCTTGGCCCATGCTTCAGGACAACTGGTTCAACTCTTAATAGTTAAGCTACTGGATCAGAGCTACTCAGGTGTTTCATAGGAAGGGCAAGGTCTGTCTCAGATGAATCAGATTAGTTTCCCATCTCTGAGGTCACAGGTTTTGAGGCAAGCACCTGCCATTACCTCAGCCTATTTTTGAAACAGAAAACACTGCTCTAGAGGGGGAGAAGCCAAGGAAGTAGCTATAGGGAAAGCCACAACCCCAAAGGAAGAATAGCTTGACCCACTGCGGTTACACCTGGTTGTAACTCTTCCTCTTGCCCCTTCTCATTTCCATTTTGGAAGGGTTAAGTCTCTACACTGGCACCAGTATGAAAGAAGTTGATGGGCTACTCAACTTTAGAGATCTCGGTCTTGGTTGGCTCCAGTGCAAAGGAGTTCATTGGGCTGCCTCAGTTTCCTTCCCTTGTTGTTCCTGCCTCCTATTATTTTCATTGTCTCCAATTAAAACATGAAGGAGCCTCCTCTTTTGAACTTTCCCTTAAAAAAGCCAAATAAAAGATCCTATTACTCTCAGCATTAACTGGTCCCTCTCATTTTCCCATTCAATGCCTTTGGTCCTTTCGGTATCCTCTGATATCAAAGATGTGGAGAGCAGAAATAACCTACATATGTATATGTATATGTATATATATATATATATATATATATACACACACAGATAGATACAGATATAGATATATACACATATATATACACACACACATATACACATATAGATAGATATAGATATATACATACATAT